AAAGCGTCTAGCACCGATGAAATCCGATCGAATCTTCGAGGTCGGTGCGCATTCCCCGTGACGTCATCCGCACGTATTTTCGCACGTGCACGAGTCAGCGGCACTTCGGATGATCGACCGTGAGGGGATCCCGCGGGCTCGCGTCCTCGTTCTTCACGCAAGCGGGGCTCTAACGAGGCGTTTGTGCCATGGCTGCAAATTAGCGTCAGAAACGACAGCGGTGGCGGCGGCGGCGTCAGACGGCGTCGGCCAGCCCCTTGTCGCGCGAGAATCGATAGCCCTGCGTGCAAAGGCCGATAAGCGCCCCGTAAGCTCGTCGACATTACCACCCGCGAGCGTTTCAACCTCGCTTCGCGCGGATCTACTGACGCACGAGCGGAATACGCGCTCGCGCGAGTCTCCGCTCGTGGATGACGCCGCGGGGAGCTGGCGAACGTGATCGAGGGAGACCGGCTGGTTGGAAGCGTTTAAAGGGGGCGAAATGGACAATCCGGGAAATCAATGGGCGCCAGATGGAGCGAACATTGGAATATTGGAGTAGGTCGGATGAATCGAATCCGGTCAACAAAGCCGAGCGCGGGCGGGCTGTGCAGTAACATGGACGATCGCGCTGAACAAAGCGCAGGACTTGCGAACCCGCATCCGTCCGAAGCTCTCTCCGACGGAGCGGACCGAGCGATTTGCATTGTTAATTGTTGACAATTCGCGAATAATTTACCGAGATCAAGCTACTGCGAGTGAATATCGCGTTCCACGCTTCCGACCACTCGTCGTTGCATTTTCACCCCCCCGCAATATATATGTCCCTTTCGAGGGACAAATTATCGTGCGATCGACACACGAGTTTCCCACTCGAACACGCGTTTTATCCCTCCCCCCCCCCTCCCTCCCTCTTCGACTTTCGCACACAAAATCGCTTCTTCGGAATTGGAGAATACCCACCCTCGGTCGCGCTCTCTTCATGTCTCGGAGATCTTCCGCGACATCTCGACGGCACTACTCCGGGTCTCCGCATTCTCCATGTCGTCGCTGTGTGACGATGACGATGGCGCCCCGCGGGAAGGATGCACCTGGTTAACGGGCGGGCTCGCACAATAGGCACTACGTCGTCCTGTGCGCTACGCTGTTCCACGTTCGCGCGAGC